ATGGTGAAATCTTTGAAAGTGGTATTCACAGCAGAACAGCTGAAAAAGGTGGTCATATTGCAAAATCCTATATGAAGGCAGAGTTCAGTCTGTGACCAAAGAGCAGAATTTTGCTCCAAGTACTGTTCTTTAAAAAAAGATCATGTTTCCTTGTATGCTGGAACAGTCTTGGCACAGACACAAATACAGAACCCAGTTCTCTGAATCCTAAAATTAGCATGTGGTCTCATTTCAGCATATCTCTTTGGTCACACGAGATGATTGATGCTTTTCTTAACTGCATCAGCTTTAGCAAACAAAGGGAATGGTTTAAAAATTTATCAGCAAAGCACGAATAAAGATAACTTTCTAAAAAAATAATATTGCCCATTCTCTATTTGCAGAGAAAAGCTAAATTGATACCATGTAATATTCTGTACATGTCCTCTGAGGAACAGATGTTTTTCCACAGCTTTGAGCAAAGGCTGTGACCTATTTCACAAATGTGCCTCCAAAACCTTATCCCACCTTAACTTTTCACAACTATTAATAGTATTTCCAAATACCAACAAATCTTTTTACTAGGTACTTTGTGATAGGGAAAGAACTGCTTTTCTGGAGGTTTGGTTTTTTGCTGGTTTTATATTTTTTATTTTATTTTTTGTTCCATAGGAATATACTTTTAAGAAAGTGCCCACAGGCACAGAGTAGCTTGTGTTTTGGGGATAATCTTCATGCCTTTTCAGTTATCCAGATGCTGCCAGAGTGAAACTGAAGGAACGAGAACATTGTGTACTGCTCAGATGCAACTTCTGCCATGCCATTGCTTTCACTTTCTGTCTACAGCTGCTGTAATTCAAGTGAAGAGCTCTTCATTCTCAAAGGTTACACTTTCTGTATGGCAGGAGTGTTATCTCTGTGAAGGAAAAAACAAGTCAGACTTACTAGAATGTTCTTGCGGAGAGTAGGGAGGGACTACATGCTCTTTATCAGTCATTACGAAAATATGTGTATATGCAGATTGCAACCAGTTTATAGCTTGTTGGGGAGTAGCCTTCAGCATGTTCTTGAAGTTTCTTGCTGCAAAAAATAGGCTTACCTGACCACAGGACTAGCACAAAGAGTGCAGTAATTAAAGCTTCAAAGAAGATCAAAATAATCCTTCCATAAACTGTGGTGGCAGCGCATCCATGGGCCATGCTTCTTGTGTGGGAATGGCTCTTCACAGGCTCACAGTGGCTTCCCCCTCCATGCAAATGCCACTGAGCTGGGGCTGATATCTTGCCCACTCTCTGCTGGTTTGGGAATAATTTTATTGCTGTCTTCATGTCCATTGATATATTTAAGCTCCCACCCCCAAAACAGCAAATGCCCCTGACTGTGGCCCCCTATAATATAATATAATATAATATAATATAATATAATATAATATAATATAATATAATATAATATAATATAATATAATATAATATAATATAATATAATATAATATAATATAATGACAGGTGGTAATAATATAATAAGGCAGGTGGTAAAAATAGAGCAAGAAAAGAGAAATTATATTCCTGGAGCTATCAATCTTAATACATTAATAGGAGGTATGGTTAAAAATAGTGATTTTTGAAGACTGGCTGTTTTACTAAGAACGCTGCACTAAGAATCATAGTGTAATATCCTAGCAGGTAGTCCTACTTACAATGCCTAAATGAGCTCCTCTTTTCAGACAGGGCAGAAAAATGCTTTCTGAGATCCCATCTGCAGCTGACTATGTTTCTAGGTGATTAGTCTTCCTAATCTCACCATGAGAGAGTGACAAACCAGAAGAAATAAACAAACAGGAATTATTTTCAACACAGTGCCAGAAAGACTTCAACATTGGGTCTCCGCAAGTATTAATCATTTTCCCATGTGCTCACCAAAGAGGTGCTGGGGGTCAGTACTATTCAGATCTAAAAGCACAGGAACAGTTTTGGATTAAGGGGTTCCTCCCTGTCCTTTCTACCACTAATGCCAGAGTGCCTTCCTCTCTTGGTTGTGCTGTCACTTGTGTCTGTGAGCAGGATGGGGGCCATGGTCCAGGTTCAAGCAGATGAGGAAGACTCCACAGAAAGAGGTGTTGCTTGTAAGCCTGCTAAGTTCCTGGACTTCTTCAGAAACCTTCCTATGCAAAGAGTAGCGTTAGCATGCAACAAAACTGGGATGGGACTGAAGGGTGATGGAATATGAGGTGCTTCTTTGCCACCAGTGGAGCTGGTGCTGGTCCTTTCCTCTGCTTCTGTCTTCCTCCCAGCTGGCTCTGTTCCTCTCCCTGGCTCCATCCATGGTCTCTGCAGTGTGGAGGAAGATGGTATCAAGTGAACCAAGGCAGGCATTACTCCTGGTTAACCAGAGTGTGAAGGTTCAGGCAGGCAAAAGTAACCAAGCTTCTGGAGAGGTTTGCTTAGGCCAGCAGATGGGTACCACAGCTCAGGAGGTCATGGTAGCAGTGAAGCCAGTGGGAACTGGATGCCTTGGCAGCTCTGAAAATACTAGATGTGCACTTGCCCCCGGTACAAAATATACAATGGCTGTATGTAACTTCTTCTAGGTGTGAATGTGCAGGGAAGTGCAACATGGAGGCTGACCAGGAGTGGGAGATAGGTGGGTAAGTGCTTTTAGTGTTACAGCCAGCTCCAGATGATAAATATTGATGTTTTGGTCTCCTTAAAAGGATTGACTGTTTCTGCTTTTTTTCTTTCAGCTGGGTAAACACTGGAGAGAGGCTAGCAAGAAACATGCCATACCTGCTGTTTTGTAGGGCTCACCTTACAGTTTCTGACTTTGTAGGTTTGTTTTATAATTGATATATTCTGGATGGTGAAACTGGCATGATGTTAGACAATGACCCCTGAAACTTTATATGTTTTTGCTGCCTATTTTGGAGCATTTCAAACATCTTTACAAACTGGAATGATTCTTAATGTCAGGTGATTTAATCTGTACTCACTGATGGACGGACTCCAGGTTTTCCCACCTGGAGCCAGTGGAATAAGGCTTCCAGTGCATCCAGTATTGCCATTTATGGACAAACATGAGCTGCTTTTAAGGCACTGCAGAAGCTGATGTTTCTTTCTGTACAAATAAATCATGCATTTGACAGCTCTGGATGGATATGTGGCACCTTCATTTCCCACTGGCAATTACTTGGTAGAGTTGACTTGGTATTTTCATCAAAGGGCTGCTGTTGACATGCAACTGACAAGAACCCTGCTACATTTTAGCACCATTGTGGTCAGTGCTGTCCTGAGGCAGACAGGTCTGGGAATGTCTTCTGAAGACACCCAGCTTTATTTTCAGCAGCATGTGCTCTTAAAGGAGCATGGGGTGGGGGTTGTATTTTGATGAGCAGAAGCATGGCTGTGTTTGTTCCGCCGTGAAGGACATAACTCCAGAAGATTCTCACTGTTCCCTCCAGCTGAAAATCTTTGTAGAATTATTTTTACCTGGGTTTGAATTTAATTTCAGATGAACAGGTCTTGGGAGACAATCCTCTCCTCTCACAAGCTAAATTTCTCTCTTGATTACCTTGGATTAATTTGTCTTGGTGTGGGTGATGGATGGGAAGGTGTGTGCTGACAGGTATAGTTGCTAATCCCAGAGGAATCCCAGGGTGCCAAAAAGGAAATGAGCATCTCTCTGCAGCATCTGCAGGGGAGCAGCTGGAGAAGCCCCCAGGGATGTGGGAGGGAAAAGAACAGGTTGGCTCAACTCTGCTGTTTGGGGCAAGACTGGCTTCCTTTGTAGTAGTGACTGTTGGCAGCTTTCGCATTTCCTGAAATGTGTTGCTTTTGTACAAAGGCAGCTTCTGTTTCTTCCATGTTGTCTGTCCCAAGTGGGGTTCATTGCTGCTGCTTTCAAGATGACTTTTCTGCCTTCTGTCTTAGTTGTTCATTCAGATGGGCTTGAAATTTGTCTTAGGGGCTCATCACCCAGAAGATGAATCCGATTGCTAAATGGGAACATTCATATTGAATGTTGAATCTAATGCACAGTGTTTCCAGGAATTGTCTCAAAGTGCATGCATACTTAAAGGTACCTAACAAAGAAATGCATCTGTTGCAGATAATTGTTTCTTCTTTGTCAGACAAATAAAAATTTGCTCATGTTTTAAGTACAATATCATTTGCATTTTTCAGCTTTCACTCAAACTGTAGTAGGGGAAGATGGTAGAGATCTCCTGTACACATTCTGCAACCTGGATGAGGATTGTTGGTGCCAAGGGGAGGGGGTACAGCAGCATGGCCCGCAGTTTGCCACCAACCTGGGGGCTAAAAAAGCTGAACCCACACCACCCTTGCCCAGAAAACAGCTTTCCTCTTACACAGAGAAGGGATATGCACAAGGGCTTGTCTGCCGTTGGATTCCTGGGGTTGGCTGTTTTTTCATATCTGAAGTGAACTTGAAAGGGAGCTGAGCAGTTAAAACCATTTTCTGAGCTATTTTAGAAATTCATAGTTACTGCAAGAGGCTGCAGCCGAAGCACAAGTAGTAAACAAAATACCAATGCGTTTGCTAAGAGATTAGTGTGAGCATAGCTGCTGGTAAATGCTCTGAACACTTCAAAGTACCTTATTGTTACATTCAGGTTTTAATTCCTTATTAGTTTAAAGGAAATACATGTCCTCAGAGCAATGAGAGGAAACTTTGAACGTTTTTCTTCCTCTTGTGCTGGGTGTGGGCTTGGTACTGCCTAATTGTTAGTCTGTCCCATGTCTGTACTCCCATAGGAAGCGAGAACAAACCCATTTACATTTGTGACATTGCTGTATGCTTTCAATTTTTTCTTTCTCTTTTTTATTTTTAAGATCAAAGGTAGCAAGAATAGTGGAGCAGAGAAGTTAAGAATGATGCAGAGAACACAGATGTGAAGAGCAAAAGAGAGAGGAAGGAGCTGAGCCCGGTGCAGAGGGAGCAAGGAGAAGCAGCAGCCTAAATGCAAGTACTTGAATGTGGAAATGATGGGTTCCAGGGTGCTTAACAGGCATTTAATGTGGTGCTTTAATCTACATCTAGTGCCAGTTGGTTAATGTTTTCAAAATTTTCTGCCTCAGGTTCAAGACTTTGGACTCTTATGTCAATGATTTACAGCTCTAAACAGGGAAGTGGCATCAAGGTCATGTGTGCATGTGTGAGAGAGACAGAAAAAGAAGACTGTTTGAGTCTTAACTGGATAATATAAGGTGGTGTAGTGCAGCTGAGGGGTGTGTGAAGCACTCACTTCATAGCTGAACAGCCTTGAAATGTAAAATAACAGCTAATCAATGACTGGATTGATCAGAGAAAGCTGAAGGGAGGGAGTCAAACTACTCAGCCAGAACCAAAGTGGTCTGCTAAATTGCTGATGTAAAATGTACTTTTATTAATTCTAGTCAAGTTCATGGGTCTGAAATAGCCATTTGAAAGCTTTTTGTTAGCAGAAGCATCATTTTAGCTAGTACAGTGATACCTCCTGCATGTGATTTTTTTCGTAACATATTTTTTTCTTGGGAAAAAAAAGGTCCTCTGCAAATGCAGGTATGTGGACCAAAAAGAGGTGTATCTCCAAGAGTGTTTTTCTTTGTGACTTCTGGTATCCCACCTGTATCAGCAGACAAGCTTTTGCCAATATCCTATGTCATCTTCAGGTAAAGGTTTTCCTCATACAAGTGTACCAGAAGAGTATTTTCTGCCATAAAGACTTTATCATCTCAGTTGCTCTTAGGGGAGGCTCGCACACAGGTCTAAAATAATGATTTTATTTACAGTCATTCAGTGCCTGCAAAGCTTTAGTAAGTGTACTGAGCAGAGGTGGAGGAGCTGCCTGGGAGTTCTGCCTGGCAAACATGTAACCTTGTCCCTTGTTCCTTGCAGCTCCATCCCAGGTGGGTGACAATGCCTGTCGAAAGGATGCGGATGCGGCCCTGGCTGGAAGAACAAATCAACTCTAACAGAATACCGGGACTGAAATGGCTAAATAAGGTAAGGGGGGCTGTGCATGCATGTGCTGAAGGGGAACTTGATAGCAGTGGCTGAGGTCTGCCTAGGTAAATCAGCTCATTCCAGGTTTTCAAAGGGGTGACGTGGGGAGGAAGGGCAAAGCTGAATGCTTCCTGCTGAACCTGTTCCTCCAGCCTTGCCTGCCAGATCTGAAGCGTCCTGCTTTGGCCTGGTGGATTTGTGGCTCATTTAAAAGCATTTTCCAACTCTTTGTTGTTGAAGGGAGTGTTTCTGGAGACTCTGCTTGGACTTTTTTTTAACCTAGGAACACATTGTTCAACAAGTAGCATCAGAGGGATGTGTTCAAAATACTCTCCTGAGAATGAAGACTGTGTTCTGTGTTAGACTCTGAGCTGAAGCAACAATCTTCTGCTTCAGACTTGTGAATACTTCTCAACCTGGGAGAAAACAGGGTGACTCAAACGTAATATTACTGGTCCTGAGCTCTTACTAAGTGCTCAAGACACTTTGAGAGCACAGTTATGAGCTCAAGAATGTCAGTGCCCAATCTGAATTTATTTTGATTGGTTGAGTAAAATCTGGGAGTGTATTTGAGACTTTGAATAGTAATGAATTGTGGAAATGTTATGTGCTTTCTGCACTACACAGGAGAGTAATTCACCACACAGAAAAGCATGAAGCTGTTTTTGCTACAGAGGCTACTTTATTATCAGAATGGGTGGAAATGCACAAAATCAGGTGCAGAAACATAGAAACTGCCTGTCTGATTAAGTCACTAAGCCAAATAATCTGGTATCCTCCCTATAGCAGTAGTAGTTGTGGTACTCAGGTGCTCATTTTTGGAGTTAAAGTATGACAATTGAAATTACTACTTCCTTTTTCAGCTTTCAAAGCTAGAAATGCTCATGACTATGAAATTATCAGGAGCGCTTTAAATTTCATCTGTGAATCTTGTTTCTCTGTAACTTCCTACATCAGTGACTCTCATAGTGTGGCTGGGTAAATAAATACTGCTTTATCCATTCCCTAGTTAGCTGCACTGTGAATTTGAGTAGGTCCTTGTTCATGCATAATGGGGTCATAGCTGAAGAGGAGACCAGTTTTTACTGTTGTCTTTGTAATTTGAGTCCCATGTTCAGGTCCTTCTCCTTGAATATCTCTATTTTGGTGTTAGGTTTCCTACTGACAGTCTATATCTGCTGTCCTTTGCTGGGCATTCCTGCCAAATCCTGAAATAATTTCTCTGCCTTGAAGTTTATTAAACTCTGATTCCCCACTTCTACCCTCTGATTTGGCAGCAGCCTGGATTGCTTTTATTATGCTCAACAAGGAAATTGCACTCCTGAGCATTTCTGTTTAAAAATGTTTATACATTCATTCCAACAATGGATCATTAAACCAAAAATATTTCTATTTTTACTGTGAATTCTGACCATAAACAAAGCCATGCATGGGATCAGTGAAGTGTCGTGTGTATCACAGCCTGTTCTATACCCACAGAATCAGCTTTATAGGTTGTAGTATTTTAATCAGAGCTTGGTTAGGGACAGTTCACAGTTTAGATAAGAAGATGTGTCAGATTATCAAGAGAATGAAACTCATGAGTGTGCCATTCTGGGTTGTCATTGGCTGTCTATTCTTGGGGGTTTTTTCTGAACTGAAGAAAGAATTACACCTCTCTCAGTTAGAAATGACAAATCAGGTACAGCTGACATATAATTCTTTCCCCTACTGTCAGTTCATCATTGTACCTCCAGAACAAACCCCTCCTTATAGGGCTTAAAATGTAAATACTTGTGTATATCTCTGGTGAAAATGTTATCCTTCTGAGTGGCCTGAAGGAGGAAGGGAATTTTTTCACCTTCCCAGAGAGACAAAACTGGGAGGTGTTAATGAAACAACATAGTTCAGTAGAGGGCAGAGGGGATGTAAGGAGGGGGATTATGAGAGGTCAGTGTTCCTCATGGGTCTGGAAAAGGATACATTCTGAGTAAGTGTAACAGAGAGGCAACCTACTGATTTGAAGGATGCGTGGAGTATTACCTTGGAGATGGATACTAAGATTTGTCCTATGACGTTGTAGCTAATAGGTGATCTCATGCTCAAACACTTGCTCCAAGCATTTTGCAATGCCAGAGTTCCAAGTGATCACAGATCACAGAACATCCTGAGCTGGAAAGGACCCACAAGGATCATCAAGTCTAACTCTCAAGTGAATGGCCCATGAAGGGATTGAAACCACAACCTTGATGTTAGTAGCACCATGCTGCTCTAAGCAGCTGAGGTTTGATCTACTTTCCTTTTCATAGCTATTTCTGAGAATGTCACAGCTTTTCCCTTATGGTATTCACACCAGAGTTTGGTAGCAATTCCTGTTACAGCACAAAATTTTTGTGGGGTTTTTTTTTGACTTTAGGTGAGGCTAATTTTTTAACAGAAACATGAGATTCCTACACAAAAGTCCAGAGATGGAATGCTGGACCAGTCAGCACATGGTTTTCCAAATCTGAGAGAAAGCACTGATGAGCTCTTTCTTGTTAAGGTCATTATTAGGCAGCACTGACTGAAGAAGCATATAGGTAATGTTTGATAATGTGTGAAATAAAGATAAAAGTAAAGTAGTATTTAAATGAAGGTATCCAGGTAAACTAGAGCAGAACACTCACCTACATGGTATTGATGTAATCAGCTGTCTTTGCAGGATTTCAGGGAAAATTAGTTATTTTGTAATTGATGAGAAAATCTGTAATTTTTGTGTAGGAGTGTAAACTTTATATATATATATATATTATAAAATTATAATACACATGGCTTCTGTGATTTTGTTATTTGTGTTATAATTTGGTATAATTCCTGTGCTTCAAGACTTCTGAGATTGTGAATAGCTTTCTGTAATGACCACTTAGACTGCTGTTGAGTGTCCTTGCAGCTTCTTTTGAAGCAGTGAGTACAGTTGATGATGACAGCATGCTATGTCTGGAGTCTTGTTCAGTCTGCTAGGTTTTGAATTATCATATGGTCTATTTTAATCTGGTCTATTCTTAAAGTTCTTGTTGATAGAAACTGTTTTCTGTTGAAGTAGGATTTTTTTTCCCATGCTTATTATAGTCAATGAAAGAGTAAAGGCAGGGAAGCTTATTCTAGGTCTGATGAATACAGTAGTGTTGTGGACCACAAATAGTGGCTTTGAGCCTTCATTTTGACTGCTTTGAGTTGGGGAAAGAGGTATCTCTATTGATTTACTTATATGTAGAGGGAAAAGTAAAGAGGCAAAAGACAAGTGACAGAAGTGATGGAACTACATTAAGAGAGATTCAAAGTGTGAGGACTTAAGGGGATTGAGGAACATGTTAAATCAGTGCTTGCACCAAATTAAAGATGAAGCCAAGCAAGAAGGGAAGAATGCAATTCTGAACAAGCAAATGTGACAGAAAGGATTGAAGACAAGAGTTGAAGGACAAAATGCAGGTTCAGAAGATTAAGATCACATGGGAAGGAAGGGAAATAAACCTAGCCTTGGAATGAGTGAAATATTAACCAGACAGGGAAGAAAAGTGGTTGTTGGGGGAAGGGAAAGGGTGAAGGATTCATCTTACCCAACCAGATATCTACAATACAGATATTTAAATGAGAGCTGCCTGTCTAGAGTTGTATGTTGTCAGTAGAGGGAAATAGGCTCTTTTAGGGTGAAATTCAGGCAGCATAGCTCAGGTGGCTGCTGCAGGAGGAGGGTGCATTTTGCCCTGGAAGTAGTTTTCTCCTCATAGACTGATAAATTGATCTAAATCTGCAGTGGCAGAGTTTATATACTGCAAGATGTCTGCGTGTGAAGTCAGATAAGTATTCTTCCCAACACGGGAGAAAAAGCAAGGGCTGTGGAACAAACTCAGTTTGTATGGCTTTACAGAAAAGAGCACGAAGAGTTCTGAGGCAGCCCTCTAGATCAGGACAAGGGAATTCACGACCATATTGTGTGACATAAAAACACATCTGATCCAGCATCCTTCTGGCCCAGTATCCTGTGTGCCAAGCGCTTGTGGAAGGAGTGTAGGAAACAGGCTATTCAAGTTGTGAAAGCCATTTGGCCACCAGAGCTGGAGCTCCATCCTAAAACTATCATCTTTAATAGTTGCCAGAATCTTCCATGATCCCTTGGGGAATCAATTTATACTGACACCATGTAAGGCATGCCCTAATTTAGATGTGTGTTAAATGAATTTGTAAAAGGCCTTCCTTTGCATTTCTTTAAGTGCACTTCTCTTTGGTCTAAAATTTCTGAACTAAAATGTGTTCAGGTATCTTCAATGCACTTCTTCACATGAATGTCTGTTTTTTTTATCCCCACTGGAGAGATGTCTACCATTGATATATTCTTATGTCTGTTTGCTTGGCATACATATTTGCAAGATCTTTTTTCTTCACCATGCTAGTATTTACTGGTGAATCTAAATTCCTTGATTTTGCTGTGTTCCTATGGTTGTTTAGTTTCGGATATATTTTTCCTAACCAGAGAAGTGTCTGTGCTGACAAAACTACCCTTTGTATGCAAGCTTAGAAATGTGTAGTACTGCATGTTTTTTCCGTGTGTCAGCTTGGGAAGCTGCCAGGCTTATCTTCCCTGAAGTGGCTTCTGAGTATTTCATAGACTTGGACTGTGTTCTGCTTTTGGTGACGCCACTGGATATTTTCCGGTTGATTTCAGTGACAGTGACACTGGGCTAGAAAGGAGCAAAACACTTAGAGATGCTGAAATTGTGCTTATAAATTAGTGACTTAAAATCATCAGTAGATTCCTCAAGTCTGTCAGTGTTGGCATTTCCTCTTTGTTTTCTCTTCCAGGAGATGAAGATTTTTCAGATTCCCTGGATGCATGCCGCAAGACACGGGTGGGATGTTGAAAAGGATGCTCCCTTATTTAGAAACTGGGCAATTCACACAGGTATTGGAACTGTCTTTTTGCAGGACAGATTTTCACATTGTTTTCCCTTTTAAAGTTACATTTCCTTCTTTCTTGTCTTTGTTTTTACTAACACAGAGAGTGAACTTAAGTTTCCAGATTTGTGGGAGGCTAAGTGTTTTTTTAAGGCCTATGATACTCTCCAGATTAATGGATGTGCCATAACTCATTTGCATTGAGGAACACAGTAAAACTTAATTGATTTAAATGTTAACAACATTGGGTTCAAAACTGTCAGATGTAGAGCACAGTCAGCACTTTGTAGACATAGGCCCTTAGGCTTTTTATGCCTTTCTATGGATTTGAGCCAGACATAATAAAGGTAAATGCTGTGCAAGCTTTTCCATCTTGTTATGGAGTCACATCAGATTTGCAGTACCCTGGGTCCTTCTTGAGCACAAACTGTTCATCATCTGTTCTAGAAATGTGCATGAGAATGAGATCACAGCACTCTCTTGCAACCTCAGGTATTGTTAGTTTGCTTGTCATGGGAACCAAAGGCTGATAACTTGAAGCTAACCTACACTGCTATTAATTTGCCATGAATCTTCAAGTCACATGACATATGTGCCTAACTTTCTTTTCTTGCTTAGGAAAATACCAGTCAGGAGTAGATAAACCAGATCCAAAGACATGGAAGGCAAACTTCCGTTGCGCTATGAACTCCCTGCCTGACATAGAAGAAGTGAAGGACAAAAGTATAAAGAAAGGAAACAATGCCTTCAGGGTGTACCGGATGCTGCCGTTATCTGAAAGACCTTCCAAAAAAGGTAGTGGGCAGAGCCTGTCAACATGAAATGTTGTTGAGGACGTTGTGTTGAGGAAAACACCTACTGCAAGTAGCTCAGTATGCAACAAGCCACCAATGCAAGCTGCACATAGTGCCCTGGCTGTCTGGGAAATTACTAGAGCTTAGGAACAGCTGCATGAAAAATGGGCTACATTCAGAAGAGAGGATCAATGAGATGTGATACCCCCAAGGTGTTGATATTTGTCTGTTAAAGCTGATGGAGTTTTGTTCAGAATCTAGTCCCAGGTCTCCTTCAGTCAAGGAATATGATTTGGGGGTATTAGAACTCAACACATTTAACTGTGTAGAGGTAATTCAGAATATGGTGGCAGATATTTTGGTATCTTTTTTCAAGCAAGAGTACAGTTAAACTGGCTGTCTTGAGCTCAGTGAGAGCAGTACACTCTGCTCAGAACATTAAGCCACAAAACTACATTGTTAGTTACAAAGACCATGAAAAACCAGCCCACAGAGCACAATAATGATGAAATGGGAAAGTGTCTGAATCCCCAAATTTAGGGATTAAATCTCCTGCCTTCCAGGAGGAGACCTAACCACCAGGTCAATCTCATGAGTATTTGGTTTCTTTCAAAGCAGAAACATTGGTTTATTTAGGGCTCATGAGCTTTCATATGGCTTCCTTACTGGTTTATGCAGTAGAACAATGGTTTCCTTAGTTCTCTGGTATCCTGTGTTGTCTGCAATTTTGGATGAAAAGATAACCTGCAAACCAAACACACAGTGTTCCTCTAAAATCTGGTTCAGTTCATCTGTAGCTACAGTTTTCTGTTTTCTTAGATTGAGAAGTGAAAGGCAGATCTTTAGTTTAAGGTCAGTGTGACTGGAAATTATGAAGCCTGGCATTTTTGGGATAGAATCATACTGTGAAAGGGAGATCAACGTGCAAAAGGTAGAACGTTTGTTTTGAAACTGTTTCCGTCTCTTGTCAGTAGTGTATTTTGTATGTTTAGGCACATTCCCCGGGACTATAACATGACCCTTGGCAGTAGATTTGTGTAGGAACTACAGAAGTTCATCTTTGAAGCTGAGATTTTGGGAATTTGGGGGCTGTAGCAGGAGAAGATTCTGCAGAAAGTCCAGTTACTGTAAAACCTTGCCATAATTCGGGTCTCATGTATATTTTTACATGCCCTTTTTTTGTGGCATGTGGCTAAACATCCATGGTAACAAAAGAATCTGGCTGCAAACATTTCTGATTTCTGTGGTATCGTGTAGTAGAGATGGGAGAAACTCCTGGAACTCTGTGCTAACAGTGGGGTAGAGTTGAGCTTGCACCAGCAAGACTGAGCTTCTACATCAGGTCAGAGCAAGGGCAGCAACACTGGGGTCTGCCAAGGCTCATGACATTTTGTGAGGGTCACATGCAGTGTGGTTTTTGGGATTCCCAAGTCCAGCATGATTGCATAAACCACTTTTGCATGAATTGTAATATGTATTTCCCTACCAGGTTGCAACTATTTACAAAAATATTGGTTGAGGTTTATTATGATCTCTTTTCATATTAAATCAATTAACAGTCTCCCTTTTACTGTAGCTACAGAGAAAATGTCAGAAATGCGATGAGACACATATTTTGATTTTTTTTCCTTTTACAAATATTTTTCTCCCCATTTCTTCTTTTTAACAGGTCTTGTTTTTTAATTTGTCATTCTTCCATATTTTTCACTTTGATTTTTTCACTGCAGCTGCTTTCCTTTGTCCCATAGTGGTTCTCTTTTGTTGCCTTTTAAAACACAAAGCCAGAGCACTCAAGGTGAATTTTTTGCTGCCCAGGCCTTAAAGGAAGGGTAAAATTAAGCAAAATATGTTCTCCCTTTACTAGGAAGTCCTGCCATTTTGAGGCTCATTTTAGGGCTATTAGTTGGTGAATATACAAAGTGTGACGGGTAACTCATGGCATACAGGACTTTATGAAATCTTCCTTCTGTTGTTGCAGGAAAAAAAACGAAATCTGAGAAGGATGATAAATTCAAACAAATTAAGGTAAGATGTGTCTGTTTAATGGTGCAAGAGCTTGTGAATACAATCTGTTGCAAATATTTTTTAATAACACCAGCAGTATATTGTGGTGGGTACTTGCGAATGCTTGTGGTTTGGTTAAGTAACTACAGTTACCCGGCATGTTTGGGGTTTTTCTCTTTGAAATGTGAAGGCTGTTAAAGCCGTGACTTACGTCATCAGTGGACACAGCCCTTGTGTTACAATGCCTGGAGGTTGGAAAACTGGCAGTCTCAGCAATACGTTTGCCATTTGTTTGTCTCTGTAAGAAGTACAGTAATTAGGGAAGGAATGCTTCTGAACAATAGAGCTACCTTTTGGAGCAATTAATTTCTGTGTGTAAAGCACTGGAAATTAATTTTCATTGAGGCAAGGGTCAGAGCTGCACCTTGTGCTCATGTTTTGTCAGTTAGAAGGCCTCAGCTGTGAAGCTCTTCAGTCACAGCCTGAGATTTCTGCTTGCTCAGATCGTGGGCCCAGACTGACGTCTGATGTCCCTGTGAGGCACGGTGTTTCTTAGCTTTCACACCTCTGCTAAGGGCACCTGTGAGGTGGTCAGTATTTCACACCAGCAGGAGCTCACCTTCAGTTTTTTTAACAAAAAAGCAAATCTGAGAGATTTCAGACTCTTAGCTTTTAGGAAAATTGGTGTCCTTGGGCTGTATGTAGCAGCTGTGTCTAGAGTGCAAGGGTATCTTGATCCCCTGCTGCTCACTTGTGAAGGGCTGTGCCACCCATGCTTGGGCTCAGGCTCTGCAGCCTCTTGGCAGGAACTTCTCTGGGCCAGGTGAACCCAGAAATGTGGGAAAAAATCCTCCACTGAAACCGTTTGGAAAGTGTGTGCTGCTGCAGCAGCTGTGACTTGTGAAGTTACACATCAGAATGCTATGCCTTTTAAATTGTCTTAAACCACTTTTTAACTACCCCGTTTGGCTCAACAGCCATGTGTGCTTGTTGTAAAGTGGCTGATGGCAGCTGATGTTCAGAGGGAGCCAGTAAAACTGCTTTGGTCGGAAAAGAGCAGTATGCCAGCACATACACCTACCTACCAGAGATACCTACTGTTAGTTCTTGTAGCTCTGAGCTGGGGTCAGGTAGTGCTCTTGTCTGTTCCCCCGTTCTGATGGATGTGTGCAGTGGCTGGCCTGCATTTTAAGAGCTTCTCTTTCTGTACTCAGCCACTGTTAGGCAGACTGTTGAATGTTGAAGGCTGTAGTAGTGGAGAAGGGGAGTAAGTGAATTAAAGCAAATGCACATTTCTGAGCATGAAAAATGCTTATAATTGCTTTGCTTGGTGATGTGAATTCCTGAGATCTGAGTTGCACATTTCGAATTGAATGCCTTTCAGTTACCCTGAAAAATCTTTTTCAGTGGAGCCCAGTGGGAAGCTACTCCACAATTTGCCTGGGAACTGCAATGAGGTGATAGCAGCAGAGGGAGAAGCTGAGAAACTGAGCACACACTTAAGCATAGCAAGAGCCTTGCAGTGAACTTCCCATTGTTGCCACTGCTGGATCCTGTGGGCACCCATAGCAATTGCTGGTGGGCTGAGTTTGAGCAGAGTGCTCAAGGCACTCACTGCTTATCCCTGTGCATGTGAGAGTCCTGGACCCTACCAAATCCCTGCTCCACATTAGCAAAGGTGCAAGCAAGTTTCCCACGCCACAGATAGGTCTCCTGACACTGGGCTTTTGGGCAAACAGAGACTGTCATTATAATTAAATAAATAATTGAAAAATGAATTCTCAATAGTGGGAAGGAAATGGAAATGTCAGAGCAACTCAGATAAAACCAGTCTGTTTCTTTTGAAACAAAGGACTGAACTGAGGCTCAAATTCTACCTTTTCCTAGGTGTATCCTTCTGACCATGCAGCTCCATATTGAGAGACATTTTTAAAATCTTACTGACAGCTTTCCCCATGCATTTAGCTTAGGCTAGACATCTGAACACTGAAAATTTAGGTGATTTAACACCAACAGTATCCAAGTCTTTTTGTGGATCTGGCACCATCACTGAATTCTAAGATGCATAATTGTTTCTGAAGCTTGAAAGGGGCTACTAAATAAACTTCTCTGTAATCAAGCCTCAGTAAAGTTCAGCAAGGGCTACATGCACAGTGTTTCCATGGGGGCTGCTCTGTTTGCTTTGTTGCACAACACCAGATACTCAGGGCTCCAGTGTGCAGCCCTAACCTATCTCTGCAGCTGTGACCCTCAATGGATCAATAGCAGCTAATTTTATCTTTTCCAGCTCTCCAGTTTTTGACCTGTGGGCCAGCACAACTGGTGCATCTCTTCAAAGACCTAGTTGCTGTTAACACTTAACTTTTCACCCTTCTGATGTGCCGAGGAATGTCGGGACAGGGTGCATGTTTGCCTTGCTTTAGTGTCTGGGGAGGTGTTTGTGTTGAAGTGACAATTATTTTGAGAAGATCACAATCACAGCATGTGACATCCAGAAAAAACCTGTCAGTATTTTGTGCCAAAGATAACAATTCATATGGTTAGTACAGGGATGAACTGGCACTGCAGGTCCTGAGGCTCACCTTTTCCCTGCCTTTGATGAAATGCTTTAGAGCAGTGAAAATGAGCACAGTGTGGACAGCTCTGCACCTCTCTGTGGGTATCTTTGGCTCAGCAAGCGGGGGAGAACTTGCAGCCTTGCAGGGCTGGTAGAGTAAGAACGGAAGACTTTAGACATTATAACCAAGAAGCCTGTGAGAGAGTCAATACCAGGGAAGAAGTTGCAGGTGTAGAATAATCCTTTTAAAGAAAACCTGAGTTAATGGAATTAAATTTTTGGTGTCAACTCTGAAGGGATTTTTTTTAGATTCCCACTCAAGTGTTATCAGGCTTACAGAGAGGCATCTTGTGGAAAGCTCAGTCTGTGTAGAACAGGTGGTGTTTTCCAAATGCTGTTGCCCTGTGGTAATGTTTATGATGTGATCTAAAAGGCTGTATTTAGTGTAAACACTTTGGTTTGCTTTAAGGCTTGCTGTAGAGAAAAAAATAAGGCTAGAATTTAGTAATTGCTGTACAGAAACTAAGGCTTCCTTTTAGAGAGTGCAAAGAGAACATATTTGGAAGGGACTGAGGATGAATATTAAATAGAGTACTGTTTTAAAGCAGTGTTTCTTCCTTGTTTGTTTCAAATGTTAATCTCTTGTAGTAAATAGCTTATTACTTCCCTGCTCTCAGAAGGCTTACTCTAAATTTGAAAATAGCTAAAAATAGCTTTCATTTCGAAGCACAAGATTTGGAAATTAATTAGTCTCAGGCTTTTCCTCAGAGAAATACTTGTGTTAAAACAGTGTCTTGCAGAGAGCGGGGGGGTATATGGCAGGCAGAAGTGATGGGATTACCATCTCAAAACAAAGAGGTGAACTGTCTCCTAAAATAATGCAATCCTAACCAAACTGTACTGTTTTTATCCTAGCAAGAGCCAGTTGAATCATCTTTTGGGATGAATGGGCTAAATGATGTCACTTCTAACTATTTCCTGTCCTCCAGCATAAAAAATGAAATTGACAGTACAGTGAACTTTGTAGGTAAGTGCTCCTATGCTTTTTTTAGATATTAAGCACACAAGTGACTTCAAAAACCCTTTTGGTCTTCAAGACTTTCCATCAGCATTTTGCACTTCAGGGAGAGCCACAGTTGCAGTCAGGCAGTCCCATGTCTCAGTAGCCTAGGCCATGCAAGACTGTGGTTGCAGGTCAGCCCCACCACCTTGCAGAGACAGTGAGCAGTACCGTACCAGTGGGCTGTGTCCCTGGAGAGTAAGGCACTTACAGGCACTTTTAGCTGTCTTCTCGTGATGAGGACTTATTCCACATGGAATCCTCAGCCATGAGGAGCCAATGTCACGCAGGAGTTAAACTGCAGTCAGATGGCAGTTTCTCATTGCTTAAAGCAGAGGTTTGTCTAGAACACCATTTTATTTGGAAGTTCAAACCAGCAGGCAACATGTAGAAACTTGGTTCTTTTTACTGACACCTTAGTAGCAGAGATAGTTTTTAACATCATTGAGCTAATGAAAACGATCATCAAAGACGGCATTTAGAAACCAGTACATTAGAAATTAGCTGTCATCTCAGCATGTGAATAATTGGTCCTTGGTAGAATAATTGGACTGGGCTTTCACAGCTCTTTTTTGGCTAAGGTTGTCATTGCAGCAAGAGCTCCTAGTAATATGACCCACATACCATTTTGTCTAGAATTCCCCTTTTAAATGTGACAAATATGTTAGTATTCTGCTTGGAGAGATGGCAGAAATCATGTGCAGTGACTATTTTTGATCCCCATTTCTTAGGTCCCAGTTTTGCATAGTCATTCCCCTGAAGTACTTGTGTGGCTGAGGAGTTTGTGAGTAGTTTTGCTCTCTTTATGGCAGTTCATTTTATCAGCTGCTGCTTTATAAGGGTATTAGAACATGCTTGTTGTTCCTACTATTATAACTTGAAGGGGTAGCACCATCGTGCTATTAGTGCTTCCTGTTCACTGACTGAGGATCGAGTAGGGAACTGCCATCCAGTGTTGTTTAATTGTTGAGATGTGAGGTGTGCTCCTCATCCAGACTGGAGAAAGATGCTGTTATTTAGGGTTGCAGAAAGGATTTTAATGTAAACAGGGAGGAAAAGGTAATTAGAATTGTTCTGCAGAAAGACAGAAAATCAGCTGCAGGGAATGAAAGACAAACAGGATCTGCAGAGTTTCTGACATACATGCAGCTCACTGGAAGCTGTGGCATATTGCCCAAGCGAGCAGTAGTTTTTGCTGTGCATTTTATCTCTCAGGGTGGGTAAGAATTTGTCAGGTATTGAGGAAAAAGATAAAACAGTGGATAGCCTGCTTGTACCCTTAGTGGGTTGCGCAATATTGGTCTCTCTGAGATAAAAAATTAACTGTGTGCGCTCTTTCACCACTCTCACCACACTCAATAAAAAGCTTGTTGTTTCAGAACCAGGTAAGGTGAAATAAAGGGGAAACAATATATCTGAAACATAATTGTAGTAATTGTAGTGATTCAACTTAAAAAAAGTCTATCTAGTATGTATGTCATTTTCTTTATGCTGGCATTGTTTCTTAAAATACACATCTAAGTTTTGAATATTTTTCCAGTGGTTACCTGTCACTTCACAAAGCAAAATAATATGCAGCTTTTCCCTGGGAAAAATACCTGTCACTTTTCTTTTTCAAAAAGCCCTGTCTAAAGGTAGAATGCAGGAGTGGATTATGTGTATAGACATGTGCATTCGTGTTTATTTATCTTAGTTCATGCACGAATAGATGCTATCTTTTGACATTTTCAAATTTAATAATTGGTATACTCAGATTACTTAACAGAAGAATTGCAAGATCTGTTGTATTTCATTGCCTACATGTTTTTACCCTCATGGATCAAGAAAAAAATGGACTGTTTGAACAGCATTGTTTGTACAGAATTTAGCCTTTTGTTCCTTTTGAAGCTTTATGTTCAGTGAAAGAGTATCTATGGTCTTTTCCTTGGGTAACCATGGTTTCAGGCTAGCCATCCTCTGAGATAGCTCCATCCCTGTGCATTCTTCTGATCTAACTTGTGGCTTTCAGTTCTATGCTGGATTAATGCATTTGTCATGTGTTCATACAGCTGGGATGAAAGGAGGAGTTGTGCAAGACAGAGGAAATTCTGTCAAGCAGCTTCAGACAAGTGAGATTCTGGCTTTTACAATGCTTTTGCTTTGCTCAGTAACTGCTTGGTACCTGGGTTTGTCAACCTTTTTCCAAAGGTTGTTGTGTAGAACAACTAATATCTGCAAAGCATTTCAGGACACTCGGAAAACATCCACTGTTGCTTCACTTTGTAGAAATAAGTAACACTCCTTTGATATTAAATTTCATGTGCTCTCTTGGTATTAAATATCATGTGCCTGGGGGAATAGGAAACCCCTCTGTTAATAGCTAACCAAACTGTAGCTTTCTGTCACAGACAGTGGGGATTGCAGGTACAAATGTTATTTTCTACGTAGCGATGGCGTTATGAGGGTCGGTGAGAATAGCCATCTAACGAGCAGAAATTTTTCACAGATTCATGTCATATGTACATCAGAGTTCCACAGTGTTTGGCATCACCCTGTGCCTAGGTTTTTGCATGCCAGTTCTGGTCGTCTGTTGTATAGTTTACATGAGAGCATTCAGGCCATGCGATGTTGGCAGCTTGCTTATTGAGGATCACAGATTTCCTTTAGAACTCTCACTGAAACTTAAATCCTCTGAAAGCAGGTGGTAGGCATAGAAAAAAGTGCTGAGACTATTGAAGACTCAGTCAGATACCAAAGCAGACTCTTAGAGATTCAACAGGGTCAAGATGTTATCAGTAATCAATTTTTTTTGTTTCTAATCCCAAGTTGTAGGACAGTCACACTTTGATGGCAGCAGTGAGGAGCAGGTGATAGTTGCCAACCCTCCTGATGTTTGTCAGGTGGTAGAGGTGACAACAGAAAGCGATGAACAGCCCCTCAGCATGAGCCAGCTGTATCCTCTACAGATCTCCCCTGTCTCATCCTATGCAGGTAAGCAACTGGGCATTTCTTTACACTCCTTTTTCTGGAAGTGTTTGGAAGACATCAAGGGAAAGAGGGCTCTTTTAGGGTAGCTAACAAAGATTCAGAAATACTCATCTGCCTTCTGAACTGTTAATGAAACTCAAAAATGCACAGTCCTCTGCTCATTTCCTTGGGAAACAGCTTGACAGATCTGAGTTTGGAAATGTGAGCTGCAGGTTTAAGCCTGCGAGTAATGGAAAAAGAACTTTTCTGGGTATCATGCAGAGGTCTTTTAGAGAGGGATTTTCAGTGGTACAAATGGCATGCTCCCTGCCTTACTAAAGATCAAAGGTCTTTTTTGCTCTATGTTTACTCAGTGTCAGCACAGTGTGCAGTGCTAAGGGGTGCACTAGTGACATGTATGCAGATATCGAGCTGAGGGTCTGCGGGGAGTGGATCTGTCTTGCTGCAGACTAGAAGAGCCATGTAGTGACTGATAACGAGTGATCTTTCAAGCAGCAGAGCTGTGGACATCTGGCTTCCAACGTCTGCCTGCCATCTGGATTCTCTGATACCTAAAAGGAAGATAACAGGCTTCCCCCTGGTCCCAGTGAGGGTGGTTATGGTTTCTCTTTCCATCTGGCCCCTTATTTTCATATAACTGTTAGGAAGTAAGAGTCGTTGGCACTAATTTATCCCTTATCCAAGCCTAACATTGTGTTCAGAAGTTTTTAGGAGAGAACAGACACAAATGTACATGTGGACATGCTATATAGGGTCCCCACAATCATATAGGCCTTGTTTCATAGGAAGCAGGACAAAGCCACATTTGAAAGTAGAAAAGGTTTCAAATCCAATCTGTCCTTTCTGTTTTAACATGGTGCTAATTTGCAAGCCTTAGGAGACTGGGTGGAAACACAAATGTCACCTTTTAAGGCAAATTTAAGTGTAAATTGTTCTTCATGCACTTTGTTGCTTTATACATGATTTTGCCTTTGACTCATTAGGCTGAAATTTCTTCCAGACACATTTTATAAAGTATGTAGTTAGTAATTTTTATCTTTGGGACCAAGTGAATAGTATGATGTTCTTTTGGATTGTCTCCACTGTTAGTCTCACACATTGATAAATGATTATGCTTCCCAACATGTTTAGTCTGCAATGACCAAAGCATTTAGAAGACGCTTGCAAAGCCCAAGGCAGGGAGATATAAGAGTTCTTGAATGTATTAGCAGCAGGGAGACAAGGGCCTTTGAAACATTTTTCCTCTTTACAAACGTTTCTTGGAAAACTTTTCCATCTATGCGAACAGGACAATGATTCAATCTTTTAACTACAGCTATAGGATGTAAATTCTTGAAATGCAAACAGAAGTCACTGTTCTGTCTGGAAGTCATGGTGGTTTCTTGAATGGGAATGATAGAAAAGGGTGGTCTGGTGACCATCTTGACGTGAGCAAATCATGACCTACCTGCCCTAAAGCCATTGCAACCAGCCTGCCTAAGGAAAATGAAGATGATTGCAATACTTCTGCTATCCCCTTACACTGTCTTAGTACCTTGCTGGCCTTCAGTTGTCTTAACTTGTACCTGGACCTGCCAGCCTGAAACTCAGATAACAGAATTTCATGCCCCTGGCATGCTTTTGAGTGCATCTCAAGGCAGCTCTTGATGATCCTGGCTACTGTACCTACAGGCCAGTAAGAAGTGGGGTACTGCAAGGGTCTGTCCTGGAACAAGCCCTATTTAATATATCGATGAACAGAAGATATGTTGGAGACATGTTTGTGAACTTTACGTGTGACACCAAATAGGCTGCACCAGTCAATATGTTTGAAGGCAGAACCATCATCCAGAGAGCCCTGGAGAGATTGCAGGAATGGGTCAGCAGAAACCTTATGAAATTTAGCAGGGGCACATGTGAAGTCCTGTGCATAGGAAGGATCTCTGCAGCAATAGCAGCTGGGGCCAATAGTATGGAGAGCAGCTCTGCAGAAAGGTGGGTAGGCAGTGAGCTGAACACAAGACACCAGAGCACCTCAGCCACAGAGAAGGCCACCAGTTTTCAGGTGCATGGCCAGTAGATCTAGGGAAGTGATTATCCTACACTACTCAGCACTAGCTGCACTACTTTAAAAGTACTGCATCCAGTCTTGACCTACCCAGTTCAAGAAACTTGAAAACAAACTGGAGCAAGTGCAGAGATGGGCTACACAGTGTATGGCCTCTCACTCTGTGAGAAGATAGAGGGACTGGGGCTTGTCTGACCTGGAGAAGAGATGGTTTTGAGAATTCATAGCAGCTGCTTCTACCGCAGGGATGTTTCTGAGAAGGCAGAGCCAGGCTCTCCACAGCAGTGCACAGTAGGACGATGAGAAATAGCAGGCTAAATTGAAATAAAAAAAAATCAGTCTAGTTGGATATAAGAAAAAATATCACCTGTTTCACCACAAGGACAGTCAGGCAGTGGGGCAAGATACCCAGAAAGATTGTGCTGCCTCTATCCTCAGAAGTTTTCAAGACCTGAAGGGATGAGGCCCCAAGCAACCCAATGTAGTCCTGTTGCTGGCCCTGCTTTGAGCAAGAGGTTGGGCTGTAGACCTCCTGAGATCCCTTCCAGCCTGAATTCTTCTATGAACTGCTTTTTTATTTTTTTAAGAATATGTTTTCTTTTGAGGCCAGACTGAGGACAAGAGTCTGTGTGTTAGAACCCTGAAGTTTCTAGGACACTCTTGTGACTATTTCTGCTGTGTCTTGCTCCACACAGACCTGTATAGAACCACAGGAACCATGGCCCTGTGCTTGTGGGTTTGCTCTATCAGGTGCTACTGGCTGAATGGCAGGAAAGAGTATGACCATAACAGCTGTGCAGGAACAGTTAGCTGAGCTTTTCTAAAACAACAACCAAAAAAAGTAGCCAGTTATGTGAGCTGTCCTATAAAAATCTGGTTTATTTCAAAACACCTCTGGTTCCTTTCTGAGGTTACTCAGGCAAATGGTGTGAGTCGCCCATGTGAGTTTTTTCATATATCCGATGATGTCTATGAAATCCTTTTGGTTTTTATTTCCAGGGCTGTTGCAAACTGCCTGTTGTGTTTGACACTGATGTGAATACCCTTCTTGATAGAAATAACCTCTCTAGCTTTCCATGCCTGCGTGGCTAGCTTCCCTGTCTTTGCTAACTATAGTGCTATCTCTTGCTCAGCATTTTGTTAAGTATAAACACCAAGGATGGATTCCTCTTCAGCTGCATCACTCTGTTTTTGTTGTGACATGCTTCTTCATGTCAAGGAATATCTGTTACTTGTCTTTACATGGATTCCTTCTATTGATTCTGTCTTCAGGGCTGCTTCTCCTTTGTATGAATTAATTTTTCCTCTCCTCCCCCCAATATGGCTTAATTAACCAACTTAGTCACATTGGCACATCCTTCTCTGCTTGGGTCAGTGAAAGAGAAGCCCTACAGTGCATTAGCTTCACAGGGCAATGCAGTTAGATTTAATGTTTTGGACTGCTCCTCTGCTTACTGCACACTGTGGTGGAGACTGGCACAGGAGAGGTGCTGGCTTTTGGAGTAGCTGGGCTGGAGCAGAAGGACTTTGGGTGCAGTTTAGATCCTGGGGTCTGAAACAGTGATTCAGCCCTTTGCAGTCTTCTGCCTAAACCTAATGCTTAGCCAAGCCTTGAGAGGATGGCAAGGTAGTGCCAGTCATGATCCATGCTCTCTTAGCACTCGTGTTATGTCCAGTGCAGAGCATGAGGCTGGTCTCTGGGAAGGCAGAGTTGCAGGGCCTGTACAAAGCAGTTTGCATGGACTAAAATGCCTAACACAGAGCTGAGGGTGAAAATTGGGGTTTCAGAGATCTCTTGCCTGCTATGATAATTCATCACATCATTCCTTGAATTGTGTGATTTCTGTGTTCCTTGTGGATGAGCATTCTCTCTGCAGCCCTGCTGTGGGGGTTGGAGTGTTGGTATCCTGACAGATGCCTATGGTTATCCTCCCAGGAAACACAACACAGTGATTCAAAACCCCACAAGCTGAGGGGAACCTGCAATCTACGCCTCCACTGTTTTAGTCTGGGGAACCAGTGGCTGTGCTGAAGGCAGTAGCCATTGCTGCAGACTGTAAAGATGGGTTTATGCCCTGTCTCAGGTGGATCTGAGGCACATTAGTCTCAACCACCCATGGGCCAGGAGCCTGACACTCAGACAGTAGGAGATATGTCTTCAGGCACATGTGGGCTTGAAAATCCAGTAAAAAGTCCTGGGTTTCAGGCTCTTCTGCAAGGGAGGGATGCAGCTGTGGGAGGATGGGTGTCCCACTGGAACTGTGCCTCTCTATTTGTGCTCTGGTTGAAGTGATGAGGGTGAGGGAGGCCCTGTGCAGTGGGGAGAGGTGATGGGGCTGGAAACTGTAGTATTGCTATTTGCTCAAGTGGTGGGTGAAGGGTTGAGAAATAGGTTGGGGAGTGGTAGCAAAAGCAAAACTATACCAACTGTACCATAGTATATCAACAGTAATAAAGCCCCAGAAGTGTCAACAAGCCCTTGAGTGGCAGGCTGAGATAACAAGTCATGAAACAAAACCACATTTGTCTGTTCTAGGGTGGAGTTGTTGCTGATTTTTCCAGAAGATAAAGATTTGGACAGAACTTTGTCTGTTGCAGAGCCTGGAGTAGGGATAGAAGGGCAAGGGAAAGGGGCAATCCCCTGCTTGCTGGAGATTCTTCCCAGAAAACACAAATCTACTTCTTTACTCTCTGTTGCTGTCTTTTCCAGAATATAGACATGCCAACTGTGATAACCATGTGAATTTACCCCATTTGTTCAAGGCAGCTGTGTAACTGTCTAGCCCTGCTGGGGCAGGGTCTCCCTGCTTCTCCATTGTTTTCTGGTTGTTTGACTTGACTGTTTGCTTCCACTTGTTGGACATACATCAGGCCTCTTGAGTTGTAGTTTATTACTATAGATAGAATAGCATTAATTTAATTTTTGTTTCTATTTTGTTTGACAGAAAGTGAAACAACTGACAGTGTTCCAAGTGATGAAGAAAATGCAGAGGTAAGCACTGTCTGGATTTTTAGCAGTTTGGACCAAGGTCTCAAGATCCATGTCCTGAGATATTTTTCCCCTTCTCCATTGCAACTCTGTCTACCAGTGGAATATTCATTTTGGTAGTAGCTGGGTGAGAAAAGCAGACCAGGAAGGACAGACAGACAGGGGACACAGACATTTGGATGATTGTCACAGAATTAATATCTCTACAAATTAATTTCTCCTCATCTGTCCAAACTACAAGGTTAATTTGTATAAAAAGATGTTCTGCAGAGCCATCAACAGTGCCAGCTAGTATGTTAACATGATGCATGATGTTGCTGGGTAGCGAGTATTTTGTCTTGGTTGGAAGCTCACTCATTTCATTTTCCTTGAGTGGCCCTGGAACTCATGTAACTGTACGAAATGCTTACATGTATGACTGAAATGAAGCTAGAATGTTTGAGGTAGGTGAGGCAGGAAACTTTCCTGAGCAGTCAGTTGGGTATTGCTGGGTGAAAGGAATCTGTGGGTAAAAAAACAAACCTGGGGAGCTGGACATATACAAAAACACCACTTGCCTTTTATTTTGGGGCTGCTGTCAAAGTACCAGACGTACTGATCTGCATGTGTACTAAAGGCAAAGTGAAGCTCATTGAGGGCTCTTGGATGCCCTGTGCTCCAGCTGCATTTTTGCATAAGGCCTTTTGCAGAGCTCTCTCCTGCTGTATCCCCCACCAAAAGCTCTCTGAATCCTCCTTGGAGGAACACCAGTTGTGCATCTGTATCAGAACACAGCTAACCCACCTGGTCTCTGGTGCCTTGGCTGGGGTGGTACCCATAGGGAGACCTCCTTCAACAGAACATGCCATTGCAGCATATGTGGTGGGCAAACAACTGAATGCTCATCTTCCCTTGATGAGCTCCTTCCCTGTGATGAGGGATGTACTGTCAAGTGACAGTGGCTTCCAAGCAGCCTCCCCTGTATTGCTAGTTTGGGTAGTGTTGGGTCTCTGTGCCTGCATCTTGGCAGGAAGATGCTCTCTCTCTGGTACCAGAGGAGACACTACCATTTGGAGTTCTAAAGGTCTGCATTGATTTTTGTCTCTGGCATACTGGGAATAAGGCCTTTATTTTCCATTCAGAAGAGCAGATAGTGCCTCTTGAGTGCTGGAGAGCCAACAAAATTTAAGCATGTGACTTCAGAAAAGGAGAAATGGTTGAGAGTAAAGACATCCTAAGCCAGTGGCTAGAGGCTCAGGCTCTTAGAGTTGGGATAATTCCTGTTCATTTTGCAGATATTTCTGTCTTCATCTTGTTACTTGGAGTACTTCACAAAGTTGTGTTCACTTATACAGTCTTTCCTTCTTTCTTCCTTCCCCCATTTCTAGGGACGACTTCATTGGCAGAAAAAAAACATTGAAGGCAAACAGTATCTCAGCAATCTAGGAATGAGGAACACTTCTCATATGCTTCCCAGCATGGCAACTTTTGTAGCCAACAAGCCTGACCTCCAAGTCACCATCAAAGAAGAAAGCTGCCCACTGCCTTACAATAGCTCCTGGCCTCCTTTCCCAGACATCCCTCTGCCACAAGTAGTGTCCACAGCCTCCACAAGCAGCAGCCAGCCAGACCGTGAGACAAGGGCCAGCGTCATCAAGAAAACGTCAGATATCACCCAGTCAAGAGTCAAGAGCTGCTAAGCCTTTGACAGTGTGGTTTTTTAGCTTTGTTTTGTTTGGTTTTGTATTTTACGTTTCTCTAAGAGAGGTTCATCCCTTGACGCACACAAGACAAACCCTAAGGTAAAGCCTTGGCAATATAAAACATTGCAGTGTCTGACTCCAGTGCCGGAGTGTTTTTAACTCAGGACTCCAGCAGTCAGTGTGTATACCTGAACCCCTATTTCCAAGGTTGCTACATAGGAAAAGAACCCAAGAACTTTGGCCCACTCACAGGTTCCAGTGTTTCATAAGAGGACCAACCGACCACAAGGGAAGTGGTGCTGCTGCGCTTCTTGCTGTCAAGGCTGTGATGAACTGAAAGCCTCAGAATGGGAGAGAAAATGTGAACTAGCTGGAATATTTTTAAAGAAAAATCTATTGTGAATATTGTACATAGTGCAGTACTAGCAAAGTTGCAGTCTGCTTCTGCACCTTATTAAGAAAGCACTTACAAAAGGCCTTTTATTACCTTGCTCTACTTAATGGCACATTGAAGGTCCCTCTCCACCTGTATTCTTTTCCAAGGCTATTCTTGCTAAAGTGTCTTTAAAGAATAGAGGAAGGGAAAGGAAGCTAAAACTTTCCATGTGGATTTCATATGTTCTGAGACTGCTTTCATCATGTTTGTTTCTAATCTGCTATGCTTGAATGCCGCGTGGTACAATAGAAAAAAGAAAATAAACTTATTACAGAGATATTATGCAAATTCCCAGATTTAAAAAAAGAAGAAAAATACTCTAATTCTAACCAGAGCAAGCTTTTTTATTTTTTATACAGGGGAATATTTTATTCAAAGTAAAATTCTAAAGTGAATATAATTTTTTTTAATCTTTTCTACAGCAAAATTTATAATTTTAAGATTCAGTCCTTGGTTATCAGCAGTTATGACATCCTTGTGGCACATTTTTTTTTTAATTTTGTAAAGGTGAAATAGCTTTTATGAGCTCATGTAGCAATCAGATTATCCTGTGGATTGATAATAAATATGGTATATAGTTAAATTTTTAATAATCCTCTTGTTTGTCTCTCATTTTTAATCTTTCAGAAGCCCCAGATGGCATGGGTTTGATAGGTGAATGTGACCTCTCAGAGTGAGCAATTAGCGTAAGCTGCCTTTACAATTTCTGGAGCACCCATCCAACAGAATGGGAAGCGCTGTGCTTGAGGCAGCTCGAGATGGGAAGAGCAGCTAGAACTCAAAGGTGCCTTATTCAGGTTTGGCCTCAAATGTAGAGGTTGGGAGCTGGGGCACCTCTTCAGCTGTGGTACTCCATGGCTGTGCTTTGAGCAAGTTACCTCATGGAAAGGATCTTGTCAAAATCCATCCCCCACCCAGTGCACACTCAGCTGTACTTCCCCCATTCCTCATAGATCTCCTTGTGGCATGCTTGCATTATCCTTGTCTGGGAAAAAAAATCTGATTTTGCAGTGTCAAGCAATTAATGGAATGAATCAGAAATCACGTTAGCATTGTCCAGGGCTTTTAACATTACTACACAGTGTCAAGTCCTGATTCCTGGAAAGCTGTAGTGTATCTAAGTAAGGGTGCACAATGACTTGCATGGTTGTGGTGGTGGGCAGGCTGTGTCCACTGCAAAGTGCTGTGTACTTCAGGCTGGCACAGACAGAAGTTGAGGGCACTCACCCTTTTACAGTTTTTTTAAGGTTGGGCGTGACACAGATTGATTCAGGTACATAAAATATGTGCACAGAGTGCCCTTCAGATGTGATTGCCATTCTCATGCCAGCCTAACAGGTGTGTGTGCTGAGAGCAGTGTAGTGGGCTGAAGAGCAATAACATGCACAAAAATGGCTGTGTCACAGGGAGATATGCTAGCTGGCTATTGAAAAGGGAAAATAAACAGAAGAATTTTCCTGTGTTCTTAACCTGGTCCTACAGTTCCAAGTTTCATCACAGGTCCATGTGAAATTTGTAATTTTGTCACCCACTGCTGGGTGGCCTGGGAAGACAAGATTAGAGCTTTGGTTAGAGTTGGGAGAAGAGGAATGCCCAAGCAATACTTGGAGTGGGACTGAAAACTTGCAAGGGTTAAAATTATGGATGTAAACTTCCTACTTTCTGTCCCTTTCATTTGGTCATGCATTTACCTTTCTTGTTTCTTAGTTTCCAAGGCTGATTCAGGTGCTTACATGGAGCCTGACTCCCAACAGGGCTGCCAAAGCAGAGTGAGGGCTAAGCTGTCCTTCCTGTGTGTCCTGCCTGACTTGCCTTCAGTAAGCCTGGCTGGTCACTGGGGTGAGAAAATGGTTGCCCAAGGGCTGCCCAGGGTATAAAAACACTTGTTTGCAAAGAGCTACCACTTGCCAGGAGAAGGATTTGCTGCTCTTAGCCTTACCTATCTGAAACTTAGGAGTAGGCAGCAGGGAAAGACAGGCACCTTCATCTTAACCCGTGAGTTAAGCTTTACATAGCTGAAAAAAGTAATGCGGTCGCATCTCCCCTCTGGTCCATGTGAGAGTCGACACCAGCATGCAGATGGCCAGGCAACCTGGCTTGCTCTCCCCTTGATCCTCCAAGGAGGGCAGCTGAGCTGCAAAACCACTGTCCCCCACCCTGCTGCAGCAGCTGAGCAACAGGAGATACACGTCCCCACTCTCGGAACAGGGTGTATGCTTGGCAAAATCTCCTCTTCTCAGGGCTTGTGTGTTTGAAACTCTTCCAAGAGCTATCCAAGCATGGGAGTTACAGTATGTATCCATAACACTGATCCATCAAAGACAGTATACACCTTGCAGAGACAAGGTGATGTCTCCACAACGTGCTCAGACCAAATGCGCTGTGGGGTGATGAAATGCAACAGAGGATTTCTTTGGGCTGGGACATCAGACGTTCATTCTGAAATCCAGGTTTCAACTGCGTTTGTTACCTGTGTTTGCACAAAATCATAAAAACCATCCAGCCTTTAACAGCATAACTACCAGTTCAGCTCTGAAACTCTGGAACCAGGTGCCTGTCCATTACTGCTACAAGCAATACCAAATTAATCTTGTGCAATTCTGTGATGTGCTCAGCCAACCTGCCTGCAGGAATCTCTGATGGAAAGCTGGGAGGGAAGTAACGGAAAGCAGTCAAGGGAAGCTGGGTTGGATCTATTCCCTTGACAGGAAAGCTAAGACCAGTCAAATTTTTTTTGCAGGAGAGTTTATGAATGATTAATTTTTTTTCTTGGTTTGGAAGGGGTCAAGACTACTGCTGAAGGACTCCTGTGAAGGTAGGATCACCCTTTCCATAGCTCAGCTGAAGTAATGGGAAAAATGAAGGAGAGCATGAAAATGAACTAATGTTCCCAAGCATAGGTTTATCCAGGTATGCTTATGAGTCACATAATGTTATAATCCAGGTTCCTGCTGGACATCCTCCTGGAGCCTGGCAATATCCTCACACACAAAAGATATTCAAATCCCATTCAAAACTACTCTAGTTGAGTCAGCTCAAAATTCCCTGGGACCAGGCCCTTACTCTTTTTTTTTCCCAGCAGGTAGGGATGGCCTCAGTTCCTGTTTGCAGCAGTGGCCACCCCATTCCCTCCCCTGCCTGCGCGCGTCAGCATCTCGGCAGGTGGGGAAGCATGGTGTACAGCCTGATGCTTTGCGTCTTTGTTGGGAGTTCCTGGGAGGCAGTAGCCATGCATAAGCTGAATATCTCTTCTTTCCCACAGGACTGCAAAATACATTCATTCTGTATTGGGATAAATGCGAGAAAGGAGGAAGTGTGAAAATTGTCCATGCCATTTCATGCTTTGGCTTTCCTTGGGGATCCTTGGAATCACCAAGGTTTGCTAAAGGGTTTCTGCCTGGGACAGCAAAAGCCATCTGGGTCTTTAAATCATTCCCTCTCACCCAAGATGCATCTCTTTGTCTCTTCTTTCCCCCTGGGCTTGCTGGGTTTAGAACAGGCATTGCTACACCCTTTGCTCCAGTCTCTCCCTTCCTGTCACTAGCTTGGATTGAACACCTGGTAGGGGAGCCAAGAGGTGGCCATGGCATGGGGCTGTGTGATGGTGGCTTGTGTGATAAGGCCGGGGGCCGGGACACCCATCTCACATCCTTGGATGCCTCAGGGAAAAATTCCCTGCCCCTGTGCCCTTCTGGCATCATCCCACTTGGTAGTGCAGGTGTCAGGCCAGGCTGGCTTCATCCCTGCTGCCTTAGGTTAGCTGCTTTTGCAGTCTGTCCCTTAATTACTTTTGCCGACTGGATTTATTACGGGGGGCTAGTGAGGGGATTGCTGGCTAGTGAGGGGATATGTGTGGGTGTTTCTTAAGCTGGAGAGGGTGCACTGTCTCCCTGCTTATGCTACAGCAGAAGAAACAGCTCAATGACCTTTCTGGTGAGTGCTTTGAGGGGGATTTCCACTTCTGCAGTAACAGCAGCAGGTGCAAAATGTTTCTGTCAACAATAATGAAAATAGTAGTGGGGAGAAAGGAAGCCATGGGGACCACAAATAGTGCTTTGCCCAGGAGCCCAGACTTCTGAGGAGGCAAAGGCTCTTCAAATGAGCTTTCTTTTCCTCTGTGTGGCAGCTTTAAATAACTCAGCAAAGGCACAGAAAACCCTATCGAAGATTGGTGTATTACTTTTTGATGAGTAGCTGATGGTAGGTAGCTCCTTTGGGCTAGTTCTGCTCTCAGTTGCACACCCATGGTCTAAATAATTCAGTAGCAGCTAAAAGGTGTGTTGCATGCTTCTTGCCACTGCAACTCCAAGCACTGCCCAGCCTCCTTGGTGAATCTGTGATCAGAGCTAATTTTGGACTGGTGTCAGAAGGTGAAAAGTCAGTGGAAATAGCTCCTTGTTTTACACAGGCTAGTATTGGTGTAGAGACAGTGGAGAGGAATCCAAGTCATTGATTTTATTTTAATTTTGTAAGGAGCGCATCTCTCAGACCTCAGTGTTGTAGCTGTTCTCTGGAGAACACGATAGTGCCTGCTGTGGTACTGCCTTCTTTCCCTCCACTCTTCTGAGGTATGGTTTCTCAGCTGATTTACACAACTCACCCTGCCCTCTAAAGTCAGGGCCTTTGTATATGTTTCTCCAGACTGTTTCTTAGGAGAAGGTGAACTTTTAAGGTGTCCAAACCCAGGTAGCAGGATGGGGATTTGCCGAGGTGCTGCATTATTAACCCCTCACAGTTTCTGCCCTGAAACATGGGGGAGCAACAGGAAGTTGGGCGGGTGCTGTGTGCCCGTTTAGATGTTATCTCTCACAGTCAAGGCTGTCAAGTTTCAGTTTTCAGTAGTATTTTTACTCTCAGGCAATTTTTAAAAATTTTTTTTAAGTACTTAAAAAAAAATTGCACCACACAAGTCACTGTAACATTTTAAAGGCCATTTTTTGTTCCTCTTGCACACGACAAGGCACAGGTCTGTCAGACCCAGCAGCTGGGATACTTTTCTGAATACAGTTCTCTTGAGGGCAAGAAAATACAGACATACAAATAGGGGTGTGGGCTTGTTTCTGGTGCAAGTCCTTGAGAGCTGATGGCTGTTAAAGCATATTTTTGTGCCTGGGGTGGGGTCAGTCTCAGTGCCCCGGGAGGCTGTGTCAAGCTCCCAGGTGGTCGTGGCATTTGTATGCACATTCAGCCACCTGGGTATCTGTGGGGCTACTGCAGCCCAGCCCAGCTCCTTCTGCCTTCATTTTGTTTTCCATTTGGCTTCCCTTCACATCCTTGGTTCCTTTAGCCAGGTTTCAGCCGTTTCACACAGGCACTGTGTGATTCCTGCAGCTGGAGTCTGTCTCATATCCCTTCCAATCTGGTCCTCCCTTACCCCTCCTCCCTGGCTGCCTTTCTGCCCTCTGCCCCCACCAGTCTGTAGGGCTCTGACAACCCCCTTGCCCCACCCTCCAATTTTGCCCAGTTCTACGATTTGGTGCTTTCATCCTCTCATAAGCAGGCTCCAGCAGTGCTCTGTAGGGAATCTGTAGGGAATACTTTGATCCTGTACCACCCTTGGGCCAAAGTCTTGGACTAAGTGAACTTGATGGAC